AATCAGGATCGGGATCTGACCCCACAGCACCACAAACCTTCCCCAGGGATTTATTCCCACAGCCTGGATTTGCCCTAAAATTTCGGGGAGACAATTGGCTGATGTTCTGACCCTCCACAACATCTCCATGGATGTCCAGAGCAATTCCCAGAAAACACACCCAAATCCCAAAATCTCACCTCGGGGAAAATCAGGATCGGGATCTGACCCCACAGCACCACAAACCTCCCCCTTGGATTTATTCCCACAGCCTGGCTTTGCCCAAAAATCTTTGGGAGACAATTTTCTAATCCTCCAAAACATCTCCATGGATATCCAGAGCAAGTCCCAGAAAACACACTTGAAATTCCAAAATCTCACCTCTGGGATAATCAGGATCAGGATCTGACCCCACAGCACCACAAACCTTCCCAGGGATTTATTCCCACAGCCTGGCTTTGCCCAAAAAACCCCTGGGAGACAATTTTCTACCTCTCCACAACATCTCTGTGGATGTTCAGAGCAATTCCCAGAAAACACACCCAAATCCCAAAATCTCACCTCTGGGATAATCAGGATCGGGATCTGACCCCACAGCAACACAAACCTTCCCCAGCGATTGATTCCCACAGCCTGGATTTGCCCAAAAAAACCCGGAGCACCCATTGGCTGATGATTTCAGTGCTTCCAGGCATTGGGAATTCACCCAAAATTGGACAAGTGGGATTTTTTTTTTTTTAAGGAAAACACCCTGTTTTTAGGGAAAAAAACCTGTTTGGAAGTGAAGCTGCTTGGAAAAGGCTCCACTTCCCTCCGTGGATGGATCCGAGGCATGAGGGATCAGTGATGCTCCAGTCGGGAATAAATCCCAGCTCGGAGCTGCCCATTCCCAGCTCCACCTCAAATCCCTGGAAAGCCCATCCCGATCCTCCAACATTCCCTAGGCATGTTATCCCACATGGAAAACCTGCCTGGACAACCTCAATCCCAGAGACAACAAAAATTCCAGCTGCTCCTCCCGCTCTGTCCAACCCTGAACTCATCTCAGGTCAGAGCTGCACATTCCCAGCTCCACCTCAAATCCCTGGAAAGCTGATCCTGATCCTCCAACACCCCCTGGGCGTGTTATCCCACACGGAAAAACCC